GCCCTCCTCAGTAGTGGGCTTCCCGACATCTCCGTCGCGGTTCGCCCCTCTCGCTACTGGAGTTGAGGTATCGCAGGACTCGACAGAGTGTACTCASCCCTCTGTCGCAGTACCGYYTGCGCCTCCGCAGACCACCGTCTYCCCTCCTCCCCTGCCGCGACTACCGACGCGTCGAGCCATTCGCTCAGCCCGTTGCAGCRAGCAGCTTGCTACTCGCGAGGACGTTGTGTCCTCTCTTCTGGACTTGAGCATGCTCCAGGCTCGTCAGGAGCGACTCACCCTCCATGTCGCTGCACTGCGTCGCCTTCTCGCCATCCTCTCTGACCCTGATCGCACCCTCCCGATCATCCCCGTATGACTTGGGACCTCCACGAGGGTGTACTCAGCGCTGTGGGATTCCGGTTCTCAGGGCGACTTCATTCACCCACGCGTGGTGAAGGAAGCCCACTTACCCACGACAGGGTCTCCGACTCCCATCTCTGTTACCCTAGGGGATGACAAGACCCAGCGCTTCTTCGATCAGACGGTCACTGACCTCCCCTTCTTCCTCACTCTCGAGCCGACTGAGCGTTCCCCGGCGTCTCGTCGCCACCGCTCCTCTGCACATTTCGATGTGAACGGGGTACGACTTCATTCTCGGCACTCCGTGGTCTCGTCGGTTCCGCAGCACTGAGGCCGATTGGGCGACCAACACTCTCGTTCTCAAAACGAAGTGTGGACAGAAGTATCGCGTACTTTTCATAGGTACCACGGCGACACCACGTCCCGATCCTCCTCCCCCGGAGCCTTCAGTGCCCACACCATCTCCCTCTATCATCGTCACTTCGCCTCGGCAGTTCGCTCACTTCATTCGACAGGACGACGTCACCTTCTTTATGGTGGACGTGACGGATCTCTTACACTATGATCCACCCTGTCCCGACGCCGAGCTCATCCCTCTGGAGCCAGATCCTCCCTCTACCTCTATAGCTCCCATCTCTACTTCCGTCCCTCCGCCGTCCGTCGAGTCCACCCCGCCGTCGCGCGCTGACGCTGATGCTGAGGAACTTGCACGATATACGGCTGACTTGGAGCCCGCAGTTCGTGACCTCATCCGAGAGTACCACGACGTTTTTCCATCGTCGTTCTCGTATGCCGGCATCCCACCGATGCGTGACGTCGAGCATTCCATTCAGCTCGTGCCTGACTATCGTGTTCACCACCAGGCACCCTACAGACTCTCGATCCCCGAGGCCACCGAACTCAAACGTCAGCTTGAGGAGCTCCTGAGACTGGGTTTCATTAAACCCAGCAACTCCCCGTGGGGTGCACCCGTCCTCTTTGCTCGCAAAGCGGATGAAACTCTTCGTCT